GTCATGCCCACCGTAAACATACCAAACAGTGGCCCAGCGGTCATTGAACCGATAGTTGTTGACAACTGCATTACCATACCGAGTTTTTGTACCACTTTTACCATGGCCATTGACGATAAACCAAATACAACAACAACTGCTCTCAAACCAAATGCGGTTTGACGTTCTGTCAATGGTTGTTTGCGATAAGGTTCAATGAAATCTTTTAATAGCACACCGGAAAGCGAATTCAATGCGGTGGAAAGAGAACTCAGTGCAGCACTGAAGACACCAGCCACAAAGAGTCCCGCCAAACCTGGATAACTGGCAGCAATTTGCATGACATACAGCGGGACGATTTGATCTTTGGCTTGGGCTAGCTGTGGGAAGAGAATTTGGTTAAAAGAATATAATTATAAATTATACGTCAGTAGATCCAGTTCTAAAATATGTTACACCTCTTCCTTGTAAGAGGGATAAGTAAATCGATTTTCGACTAATCTATACATCGACTTTATGTATTGAAAAGTCTAAAAGACTAAGTCGACTTTTCAAGATTTTCTTCACAAATACTTGGTTGCAAAGCCCAAATTACCTAAAAATTACAAATCCCAGAACTTTATTTTATCTGTTGAAAAGATTTTAAGACGATTTTTAATTAATCGGTAAAAATCAAAAAGTCGATTTTGAACATGATTGACAAAATCGAATAATCGAATGATCGAAAAGTGGACATTTCAGTCAAAGGCAAAAAATCGACTTTTTGGTCAGAGGCAAAAAAATCGAAAACTCGGAAAGTTGACTTTTGCGCTCGATTACGTATCCCTAACGTGGAGCTTGTATAGATCATCATATTCCTACAACAATAAAATATTTACTTCTCTCCGAACATATTTTCTCATGACATTTATTGGAAACTAATAACATACCACTAATACTGCCCGCACTAATGTTATCGGATAATTTTGTTTTCCCTCACAATTTAGAACCCACCAACAAATTTCATTTCAGTGCGTCTAAATATTTATTATTATTGTGTGAAAATAATTCTCATTCACTTTACAACATCAGATGAATAAGTAGCGAACCGTTGGACTTTTAGGCAACTCATCCGATAACGGAGTAATCGTCTCAGATAATTCCAAGAAGGCCAAGATATTAGTCGATCATATTGATAGTATCTACCACTCTAATTGTTGGCTGTTGCACCAGTCTGATCTTAGTTGAGCTAAGACTTCTAGTGTTTTTTCGGGGCAGCTGCTTCTCCTCTGCAGCGATGGATGGCAGGTGGTCTCCGATCATAGTATTCATGCGATATTGCTCTACTGCCTGATCGACTGCGTCTGTGTGAATGCCATTCAGACCTACTTGATAGGCTTATTGATCTAGACATTTATGCACAAAATAATACGATAGCGGTGATGGCTACACACGTATTATCTTTTTCTTATTTTTGACAGTCATTTTGGTGACGCTCTCACACACTTACTCTCGATTTACTTCTGTTCAACACTGATTTAGAAGTTCATGCTTGGAAGGTCTAAATATTCTTCCCCTGCGTATCACATACTTTCACAAACCTCACTGGTGCTACATAGCTTACCACTGACCGGCACATTGTTTCTTAAGAGATCAACAAGGTTTCTTTATCAGCGTACCAAGTGCTGCCGCCTGCGATTTCTGCTTCTCAGCTTATCGCACAAAACAGTGGCTTGCACAGACAACTTGAAAAGGCTATCGAACGTTACACTCAGTATCTTGAGTTTGTGGTCGGAATCAGTTCTTCGCACGGCACGATAGTGGAATATTAATCAACGAAGACGGATGCAACTTTTGTAGATTCAAACTTAACGTGCATCGAAGAAGGTTCCAAGGTTCCAGGCGTTGGCATGAAGGACGCTGGAGAGCTCATCATCACGGTGATTTCCCGATAACCTGGAAGGAATCACTAGTGGTACTAATTCGCGATATTGAATAAAGGAGAATCTCTACAGACCGACAGATTGTATTTCGAGCAGAGCACACGACAACTCATGCACTGGCAGCTTTCTCAATATTTGTCACAGAAGGTTTCATCAACAAATTTGTCGCATGGTGACAAGTTTTCTCAAGGATCTACGTTTTCGTGTGAGAGTTGAAGATAAGTTCTCTGAAATGTGATCGATTAAAACCGGAGTGCTTCAGGGATCAGAGGCCGGTACGAACAGGTTGTAGTTCGAATGCGACATACCAGGGCCACCGTAAAGAGGACGGTTCTGAAGCATTGTTGAAAGAAGGCTTAAAGTACACATGAGAACTTAAACTAAATAAGACCAAAAGATAACTTTCTTCGGAGGTAATACTACAAATGTTGGAAGTGAATTCAAAAGTGTGTTAGGATGAAGTATTTCGAATTGTTCTGCACGATTAATTCGACTTCTTCCACAATGCGGATTATGTGCTATCGAAAAACAGAAAGATGAACTACGCATACCAAAAGTCTTGCGAATGATAGGATGTTTTTTTGAATGTAAAGTTACTGATATACAAGTACACGACCCATCATCACCTACTTTTTGCTGCATGAACGGATATATCGTCAACCCAAATGAAAAGGATTAGAATGTAGGAGAGGAATGAGACCAACATGGATATCAACGATGTCAACACAGCAGAAACATATAAAATACCATCGATTTCCAAATATATGTCTGCATGTTGAAAGGAACAAACATAGACTGGAACAAGCTTGTGGAAAATATGACTGTGGAGCAATATCAGAATTTCAATGAGGAACGCCACTCTAACCTTAGAAGGAAACGCTTGCTCCCTGTACATTTGCTGAACTTTCCTGCACCTTCGACAGTAGTTACCAATTTTCTGAGAGAATAATTCTCATTCAGTTTACAGATCTCCGGAACTCTACTGAAGACGTATAGGGTGTATATTCAGAAAGTAATCTGTCTTTCTATAAATGACAAGAAGGCCTTTGATCCATAGAAGACCTGTAAAATGTCATCTGGCCAGAAGTCTCCTAAGAGATTTTTTTGTTTACATGAGATCTCTAGAAGATATGCTGTCTAGAAGTGTGACACATCTATAAAACTTATCTTATCAATTTCGAACGTCACATTTATATGCTGGAGAGAAGTGAGTTTTTAAAAGCCTGGAAGTGAGTTCAATCTAATGAGTTTTCCTAAGGTAGTAGTCAAGCCTATATTTTACCCCTAAAGATCATAGTTGTCAACAATAAAAAAGTCTTCGTATAAAAATGTAATGTATGGTAATAACTGCTTTTAAGCCTTTAGTGGTGCAGTGGTGTAAAAAACAAAATATTTTTTTTTTAAATTTTACAAATATTCACCTTTGTCGTTATCGGATCACAATCATAGTAATGGGCATAGGCCAACAGACCCATATAAATACACATGCCCAATATGAACACCAAACCCAAAATGAAGATGATCAAACATTGTTTTACTTCCTTCATGCCGGGCAAGGATAAGAATCTTTGGACAGCCGGCTGCATAATGCATGTGTGTTGTATCTTCAGCATTGTGCCACCGATAAGGACAGCAAAAATGCCCATGCGCACTGTGGGATCAAAGGTGAGGCTATGAAGAAAATAAAAACAAAATGGAAATAAAATACCTAAAAAAGGAAAACATAAACATGATACTCACTCTGGTGCCACCATACGACCACTAGCAGCATTACGATCATACACCACACCCATACCACCCAAATCGACTGTGCCTTTTATGATGACAAACCCCATCGAACCAATCATAATGAAACTTTGCAAGACATCAGTCCAAATGACACCCTTAATGCCACCCTGGGAAATTTTAAAATAAAATATTTTCATTTTTTTCTGAAAATCGGTTTCCAGTTTGTTTTACTTACAATACACGTATAGAAGGTACAGATAACACAAACCACCGGTATAATGGTAAAGAGGTCAATACCCGTAACTAAACATGAAAACAGATAACTCGTTATTATTCTTATTTGAATATAATTAAATGTAATAATTTATAATTACCTTGATTGAAGGTCAATGCAGGCACATAAATTGATATCGGCATCCAAAGAAGCTATATGGAGTCATTTTTTTATAAATAATGAAATTATTGTTTAGCATATAATTTTGAAATCAAATGACCAAATATAGGTTTACCACAAGGAAAGAATGATGACTTGGCGGCAATAATAATTTATTTTTATAAAAATGCTAAGATTGATAATCAACGCTTAGTCGAAGCGGCTGATGTTAGAATCTTGAAATTACAATTATAATTCGAACGCCACGAAGTGGTGCACATAGAAGATATCTGGCCCACAATCAAGTGCAACACCTAAAATTCGGTGACACTGAGGTTTCTACGTATTCACTTTAAACGTTACGGTCAGAAGATCCCCTAGTGATCAGACAAGAAACTAATCTGCACTTACAGTATTGAGAACCCCTAGCGTCAACCCCTACATTAAAAAATTTTACTGCGTTGAAAATTAAATAATGCGGCTTCGAGTTGACAGCCAGCCTCTAGCAGGTATACAAGTGGTGCTTTGACGAAAATCAGGACGACGAAAGGAAAATTCTTAGAGATTGCCAGTTTTGATTTCGAGCAAAACATTCGACAACCCATGTATTGACAGCATTCTCTACACCGAAGTCTTCAAACTGAAGGAAGAAATCATTTTTATTGGCTTAGACTTTGCCAAAGCTTTTGACGCCGTTTGGCAACTCGGCATTCTTTACAAAATACAATCGCTTGAATGCGATCAGCATACTCTCAATGATCGAGTCTTTCGTGTGAGAGTAGCAGATAAGATGGCGGAAAAGCGATCGGTCATAACAGAAATTCCTCAGGGATCACTACTGGCAACGTTTCTTTGCAACCTGTTCGTATGTGACATACCAGGGCCACCTGAAACGAACTGCTGATGATGTTTTAATTGCACTGCGAGACCTCTTTAGAAGCACTGTGGAAAGAAGATTGAATGTGTACATGAAAACCCTTCACCCAGCAGGTATAAAGAAGAACTTGGGGATAATCGGGGCGAGGAAAGGAAAATCCTTAGAGGTTGCCAGTCCGAATTTCGAGCAAAACATTAGACAACCCCTGCACTGGCAACATTCTCTACATATGTCACCGAAGGCCTCAAACTGAAAAAATAAATCATTGCTATTGGCTTGGAATTTGCCAAAACTTTTGACACAGTTTGCCAACTCGGTATTCTTTACAAAATGTTGATCGCTCGGATTCGATCAACTAACTTGTCGCATGGTGGCAAGTTTTCTCAAGGAGCGAGTCTTTCAGATCGGCGAAAACAGAAATGCCTCAGGGATCACTACTGGTACCGGTTCAATACAACCTTTTCGTATATGACATACCAGGGCCAACTGGATGGAACTGCTTTTAACATAGGCTGCTTTTAACATTGTACTGCGAGTCCTTTTTGGAAACACTGTGGAAAGAAGATTGAATGTGCGATGAATGCGAAGAGCTTCCGAAAATACATTCCAACTATAAAATTTGGAAATGAATTCACATCAGTGTCAGACAGGATGAATTATCTTGGACTTCTTCCGTCATGTGGATCATGTGCTGCCAAAGGTCAAAAAGATGAAAATGGCTTTCTAATGAAAGGGATACTTCCTTCGGAGGTAAAGTTGCTAATACACAAGCAAGTAATTCAACCGTCATGTTGATAATGTGATATAAATGGCCAAAAATATAAACTTTGCCTAGCAAAGAGTGTTTCGACGCCAAAGATGGACTTTCTTAAGAGGGAATGTTGCTAATATGTAGAGGATAAGAATGTTGGAGAGAAATGTATTTATATCTTATCCGGACGATAGGAACATCTACTATGTAATCGACTTTAACCGGTTAGATTTCTGCATGATGAAATATGCCGTTAACTTCCTGGACAGGAGCCAGCTTGTCGAAATGGGATAGTGGAGTCCAACGAGGAACTCCACTCCATAATTAGAAGGAAACACGTACCCTGCAGCTTTGCTGAAGCTTTGAGACGGAGGAATCCTATATTATGAAGGTGTACTACCATGGGAGGTACCTCGTATTTGACGCCGATATTGTGCCTGTATATAGTACACTGTACAGCTTGAAATAATTTTCTAACTAAAAAACAATTTTGAAATGAAATGGAACAATCGCGACAGTAATGTGGAGGTGATTCTTGCCTCAGGGATCACTGCTGATTAACGAGTTGAAAAACGAGTCCTTGGCTCTGGAATTGTAATTTGTTGTCGATCGGGGTTGACAAACGAGCCTTCGGCTACCTGTGAAATTAGGTGCTGTCTAGTCGAGTGGAGTTTGAAAAACGAGACATCTGGCTGCCGCTGTTAGAAGCTACCGCAATCTTTCGGGTGCCGGAAACGGCCTTGTTTGCCGACACCGTTCAGCGACCTGTGGTGTTTTCAATTTTTTTCGGGCACTGTTGTTCCTTGATGTTTGATTATTTTTGTTTTCGCAAAGAAGACCTCATCAACTTATAGATAACCTCAAAGATCTTCTATATATATGATCTTTCCTTAATCTCATTTACGCCTTGATCAATCTTCCTTTGTGGTAAACCATATATAGGAACTACTAAAAATACAACAAAAACACAATTAGTTAATATCAAAATCAAATTTCCTACTTACCGATATAAGTACAAACATTACCGAACCAAAGAAACGTAGACGACGATCAAAACGCATTTCAAGATACTAAAGAAGAAGAAATAAAAAGATACCCGATATAATCTTTGAAAAATTGGCCGAAATAAAAAACTAACTACTTGTGCGGTGCTAGAAAGCGAATGGCAAGTGCAAAATAGTGCATTGGGGGACGAACGAACCGGCGACAAACACCTGGACAATACAAAATAATGAAACAACATTTTTTTAAAATCATTTTTTTTAATATTTTTTTCTAAAATATTTTTATTCAACAACATCTAAAGATTTCTTAACAATAATTCCTTCATCACATAGTTTTTTCAAGGGTTCCATTTCCGTGGAAATAACTTCAACCCGTCGAGGAGGTAGAAATCTATGTAATACTGGTGAAATGAGATCGGGATTAATGTCTTCCAATTTATTTGTGCCGAACAACAAACAGGCAATATTGGCCACCAGACAGCAAATGATGCCACCGAAACCGGTATACCACATAAAGGATAGGTGGTAGATGTTACGTTCCGAGGGTCTGAAAAATATGGGAATTATTTCATTCAATTCCTTATTAGATATTAGAGATATGGTCTCACGTATAATTTTGCCTTTCCCACAGCGTAGAATTATCATAATCATAGGTGCAACCTTCAACGGAAACTGGCAGTTTGGGATGCCGTACCAAACCTTGCATTTGACCCCATTGGGCATTGAAACAAATCCAGCCCAGGGTGAGAAATGAAACAACCCCACCCATAAGAATGCTCTGTAATAAAAAAATAAAATGATCCTCCATTGAAAAATATCTGCCCTCCTTCCCATACTTACTTTGCCATTTACCCATGGCATACAGACACCACAGATATAAAATCCCAACAGTGGGCCCATTGTTACCGCACCCGTCATAGTGGCCAACGTCAAAACTGTACCCATTTTCTCTACCACAAATACCAAGGCGATGCAACTCAACCCAAAAAAGGCCACAATGAAACGTAACAAAAATCCAGTTTGCCATTCGCTGAGAGGATTTTTTAGTACAGGTTTTATTAAATCTTCCGAGATTACACAGGCCAGAGAGTTTAAGCCAGTTGAAAGAGAACTTAACGCTGCACTAAATACCCCAGCAACGAAAATACCCGGCAAACCGGGTATTATACCCAAAATCCGCATCACCAAAATTGTGGGCATTTGATCATCGGCACTGGCGAGCTGAAGAATATCAAGAAAAATAATTGAGGAATCTACACGTGATGTATAAGATCTTTGAGGTCTTCAATATACGTAGAAGGCCTTCGAGGTCTTCAATATACGTAGAAGGCCTTTGAGGTCTTCTATAAACATAGAAGGCCTCTGAGGTCTTCTATACACATAGAAGGCTCTGAGGTCTTCTATACACATAGAAGGCCTCTGAGGTCTTCCATAAACATAGAAAGCCCCCGAGGACTTTCATACGTTGTGGGCCTCTTAGATCTTCTATATATCGAAGGCCTCTCAGGTGTACTATACATCGAAAATGCCTCTTTGACCTTTGAGGTCATCTTCAATTGTCTTCTCACCTTTGTCACCAATGGATCACAATCATGAAACGAAGCATAGCTCAGTAGACCCATATAACAGCAGCAGAAAAGTAAAAATATCAATAGGGTTGTGAACAGAATCATACACTGTTTGACCTTTCCCATATCGGGTAAAGAGAGGAATCTCTGCAGAGACATTTGATTAACATCACTCGACTGGATTTTATGTAAAGTCCCGCCAATAATGACAGCAGTCATCGATAGACGCACGGTGGGATCCCAGGTGAGGCTAGTTCAAAAAATAAGATAACAAAATATATTATCAGAACATGGGAACTCCTATCCTTTTAAGGATCTGTCTGAGTTCCATGTGGATCTACAATTATTGGTTACTAAAATTGTATAATCTTATAAATCCAAATTACCCTTTTTACTTACTCTGGTATTTTCAAGCGACCACCTTCCAAATTTCTCTGCAACACCTCTCCCAAGCCACCCAAATCGATGGTACCCTTAATACAAATAATTAAAATGGTGCCATACATTACAACACTTTGTATGGCATCGGTCCACACGACAGCCTTTAGACCTCCCACACATGTGTAAAAAGTACAGACTACACACACCACGGGAGTTATGGTATGGACATCAATACCACTAACCTGGTTAAAGGTTAGCGCTGGTACATAAATTGCCACCGGGAGATATAAGATCTGAAAGATAGGTTTTTGACTTAAAAGTTCTTTAAAAATCCATCACATCGGTAAACGATATAAGCAGATTTTTATTCAAATGGAGAGAGTATTATTTTACTGATCCGCTATGTATATCTACCGATGCGATATATTCAATTCCATTTGTACTTACCATACCCACTGTAAACAGTATCGAACAAAAGTAACGTATTGATTTGCCAAAACGCATTTCAAAATACTAAGAAAATTAAAAGGAAATATTTCTCATATTTTATTTCAAATCACCACATAATACCAGGATGTTATATAATATTGCGGGATCACATTAAGAGAAGCGAAGTAAATTGAAACACTTTTTTTGGCCAACACTCGACAGCACTTAGGCTTAGAGAAGACAACTTTGACTTTTAAGGTTGCGTACAATTAAAAAGTATTTTCGAAGAATATTTTTTCAAGGATCAAAGGAGGCGAGGAAGACTAAATATTGTTGCAATGATAAAAAGGGCCGTTGCCAGAATGAACCGGAAAAAAAGTGCGAACTGATGCCTCGGAGGTGGCGAATAGAATTAATTCCCCAGACGAGCTGACAAATACCAAACCCACAACATACATAAAGAGCTTCCCGTCGACTGATATAAATATAAAGCTCAGAATACCCAAAGGTTGCCAGGAGTCGGTATAGGATTGAGCTCTGGTATGCAGTGATCGAGGAAAATAATCCAAAAGGTTAACTAAAATAGGGAGACCCAAATCGCCTGATGATGCTAGAATTTGAGTCCTCATAGAGCATAGACGTCTTGAGGAAACTAGTAGCAAGTATTGTCTCCATAAACTAAAAAAATCAAACCCATGCTAGTGAAGAAAATAGACATTCCCCTACTTCGAAAGTCAACGGTCTTCATTAGCGATTGCTCTGCAAAACAAGAAACAGCTGGTGAAGAAGTGGGATGAGAACGAGGAAGGTACTGTCCTTGAGATAGTCTTGGACGGTTCTTCAATGGCAAGTCTAACCAAGCATAAGGTACACTACATGTCCAACGCTGTCTACTTAAAAATTGGAAAGACCCTTGGCCTGGAGAGGAGGAAAAAGCCAGCGAAGGAGAAACATCCAGGGACATATTTCCAAAAATGTTTAATACATAAATAACATGGACTGTGAGCCAATTGTTCAACATATTTCGCTTCTCTAAATATATTCCGTAATATTACTCTACTATTATTGGTATGGTATGTTTATATTTACATATGATAATTTGTACATATTTATTTACACTTTTTTGGAGTAATTTTGAATTTTGATGCATTTTTTGCAAGCCGTAATTACACACATGCACATAATAATTTTGAAAACCAATACTTATGCACACAATTGTTTTTATTGTTATTATATTTTTTAATTTAACAACGTAGAATTAAATAGGCTGTTCATAAAAATATGAACATGATATTTGGTTGTATTAGTTTAGGATGATTTAGACATTTACATATGTCGTAAATAATAGATAAGCAGTCCTAAAATCTATTTGGGTGTGCATGTATGCACATAAGGGATGATAACACTCCACGCTGCTGAAGGCGCATAGCTAATAAAGGATATCTCCATACACATGCGCTCAGCGGGTGAGTAAATAGAGATCACTTCAATATGGGTTTCTGTGTGTGTGAGCTGATCATGAAGAATTAATAGCAGCCCACACACAATGATATTGGTGCGATCATTTAGTAATGTAAACAAATTAGCATATGTTATCTCTTATGTGTATTAGGCTAAGTTAGATTAGTTTAGGTAGCTCTTAAGGAATAATTTTAAATAATAAAATCAGAATTGAAACGGCATTCGACCTTACAAGTCCTCTGTAGTTTCCTTTTTCCCGCGCTCTACATAGGCCAATAGGTATATTGATTTAGTACAGAAAATACAAAATTTGTTTTCATAATTTTTCGTAGGATTTTCAGTATAATATACATAAGAAACCAGTAAGAAAAGTAGTAAAGTCGGACTGGGCAGATTTAGAGTCGTCTGCGTACCGTGGGTCAAATTTCAATCAGGCGACCGTTCGAAATACATATGGAACCTATGGCTGCATCTGCACCAATTTCAACAGAACGCAATAACGTCATTCAAGTCTCAATTTGACATACGTCGACAGACAGACGGGTGGACATGCATAAATCGACTCAGAAAGTGATTTTATGTATACGCTCAAAAGGAACCATGGGTATATCTCGATTCCTTTTGCCTGTTACAGACATATGCCCAAAGACATAATACTCTGTACCACAGTGTGGTGAAGGGTAGAAAAAGGGGGTTATATGGGAACTACACCTGAAAAGGATAGAATTTTATAATTTTTTGTGAGGGAGATTTGTTACCATATACTACTACAAAATATCAAATTACAGCGAATTCGGTTGAAAAACGAGCTCAAAATAAAATATTATTCAATACATATTCTCAAAAGGAACTGAATAATGTTTGGGGGGGTGGGGGTCTACTCGGAAATCTAGGCTAATATTGATAATATTTAATAAGGAGATTTTGAACCCAATGCAAATTCAAAATATAAAATTAATTAAAATTAATGCCAAATTTTGTTGAAAACCGTGTCTCAGTCCATTAAACTATTCCGCCCAATTTTAAAGTTCTAGTCCCATTTTCAGCCAAATTAGAAGGTAATTACTTTTAGCCCTTTGAATTACAAAAGGAATAAAGCGATTAACAAATAACATGATTCGAATTACAAATAGAATAATTTAAATTACAAATGGATAACTCGATATTTAAATGAAATTATGGCATTACAAATGAATTCTCAAAACTTAAAATTGAAAATTTCGAATTAATATTTAACCAATAGGGAAAGTTGTAAAGTCGGACTGGGCCGACTATATGATACCCTTCACCACTTTGCGTATATTCTACATACTTATCCCAACAGACGACGGTTTTTGTTATATATCTATATCTGAACCGATTTTGGGGAAACTTGCCAGAGACTAATTTATATTACATCAGTACGTTGTGTCAATCGGCGTAGCTATGGATCTTTTCACGAAGCTTAGCAACATCATTCTAGAGTTAATTCAGTACCCTATACCAAAATTCGTGCAAATCGAAAGATATATTGGGACTTTGGTGCATAAATTACATAAAATCGGACGAAAACATATATGGGAGCTATATCTGAATCTAAACCGATTTTCACGAAACTTTGCACACATCATTCTAGATTTAATTCAGTACGCTATGCCAAAATTTATGCAAATGAAAGGATTTCCAGGGACTTTGGTGTACCAATTCCATAAAATCGGACGAAAGTATATATGGGAGCCATATCTAAATCTATACCGATTGTGACGAAACTTTGCGCACATCATTGTAGACTTAATTCACTACGCTATGCCAAATTTCGTGCAAATCGAAAGATATATAGGGTCTTTGGTGCACCAATTAACTAAAATCGGATGAAAATATATATGTGAGCTATTGCTAAATCTGAACCGATTTTCACAAAACTAAGCACACATCATTCTCGATCTTATTCATTAATCTGTGCCAAATTTCGTGCAAATAAAAAGATTTCCAGGGACTTTTGTGGACTATTTACCTAAAATCGGGCGAAGCTATATATGTGAGCTATATCTAAATCTGAACCGATTTTCACGAAACTTTGCAAACATCATTCTAGACTTTATTCAGTAAGCTATGCCAAATTTCGTGCAAATCGAAAGATATATAGGGACTTTGGTACACAATTTACCTTAAATCGGACGAAGATATATATGGGAGCCATATCCGATTTTCATGAAACTTAGCACACATTGTTATAGACACAATTCAGTACGCTATGCCAAATTTCGTGCAAATCGAAAGTTATATAGGGACTTTGGTACACCATTTACCTTTTAATCGGATGAAAATATATATGTGAGCTATAGCTAAATCTGAACCGATTTTCACAAAACTTAGCACACATCATTCTCGATCTTATTCATTAATCTGTGCCAAATTTCGTGCAAATCAAAAGATTTCCAGGGACTTTAGTGCACTATTTACCTAAAATCGGGCGAAGCTATATATGGGAGCTATATCTAAATCTGAACCGATTTTCACGAAACTTTGCAAACATCATTCTAGACTTTATTCAGTAAGCTATACCAAATTTCGTGCAAATCGAAATACATATAGGGACTTTGGTACACAATTTACCTTAAATCGGACGAAGATATATGAGAGCCATATCTAAATCTGAACCGATTTTCATGAAACTTAGCACACATTATTATAGACACAATTCAGTACGCTATGCCAAATTTCGTGCAAATCGAAAGTTATATAGGGACTTTGGTGCATAAATTACATAAAATCGGATTAAAATATATATGGGAGCTATATCTAAATCTAAACCGATTTTCACGAAACTTTGCAAACATCATTCTAGACTTTATTCAGTAAGCTATGCCAAATTTCGTGCAAATCGAAAGATATATAAGGACTTTGGTACACAATTTACCTTAAATCGGACGAAAATATAGATGGTAGCTATATCTAAATCTGAACCGATTTTTACGAAAATTTTCAAACATCATTCTAGACCTTATTCATTACGCTATGCCAAATTTCGTGAAAATTGAAAGATATATAGGGACTTTGGTACACCATTTACCTTAAATCGGACGAAAATATAGATGGGAGCTATATCTAAATCTGAACCCATTTTTTTCAATTTCAATAGGGACAGGCGGACAGACATGCAGAAATCGACTCAGAAAGTGATTCAATGCATATTTTCAAAGGGAACCATGAGTCTATCTCGATTGTGGGGGTGAAGTTTCGTAAAAATCGGTTCAGATTTAGATATAGCTCCCATATATTCATCCGATTTTAGGTAATTGGTGCACCAAAGTCTCTGAAAATCATTCGATTTGCACTAGAAGTCTAGAATGACGTGTGCAAAGTTTCGTGAAAATCGGTTCAGATTTTGATGTAGCTCCCATATATATATTTTCGCCCGATTTTATGTAACTACTGCATCAAATTCCCTATTTATTTTGGTATAGGGTACTGAATTAAGTCTAAAATGATGTTGCTAAGCTTCGTGAAAAGATCCATAGCTAGGCCGATTGACACACCGTACTGGAGTAATATAAATTAGTCTCTGGCAAGTTTCCCTGAAATGGGATGACCAACTTTTTGTGGAGGGTGAAAACTTGATAGACCATGCATGATGAAGATTGGAAAAACCGTCTTAATTTCAGATATAGATATATAACAAACACGCGACGTCGGTTAGGATACATATCTAGAATATACCCAAAGTGGTGAAGGGTATCATATAGTCGGTCCAGTCCGACTTTACTATTTTCCTTGTCGGTTTTTTATTATAAATGAAAAAATGCAATTAATTACTTTTTACAACAATTACATTTTATTTATTTTTTACAATATTTCATTACAATAACAACAACAACAATATATACAAAAATAATAATACATTTATATATACAGGAATAAATATGTAAACACTATAGCGTTCTTATAGAACCACATCGTCCTTTATGGACTTTTCTAAGTCGCTCTTTAATGGCATGTCGTACACCATGACCAGTGTCTCATCCTCGTCCTTATCGAAGACACTCTGATATTCTTTCGTTTTAATAAATTTACGTACAAATGGAGGGAATAGGTTGCGATTCATTGTCGACGGGTCGTTACGACCGAATGCGTACGACGACAACTGGGCGACCGTAATAGAAATGAAACAGCCAAAGGCAGCATAGAAGAAGAAGGACATTTGATAGATATATTGGGTGAATGTTTTCGAACTGCAAAACAAATTTCCGTTAAATTGAAAATAAGAACTGAAAAAACTTCGACTTGCCTTGTTTCAACAAAGGTGGCGTTGGCCGGTGTCATCCGGGGTTCAAAGTCATATGTACATCCCTCTGTTGAAAATGGCTTCTCGGGATATACCAATTCACCGGTGGCCAAGGCTATTTGGCATTTAACACATATCCAGGTCATGGAAACAAAGGCCACAATACAACCGCTAATGGCACTCTGAGGGAGGAACACGAAGAAAAATAAAATATTTTACTGAACCTCTTCTAAAATTAGTTATTGGGGTATGGCCATTCTCACCTTTGAATTAATCCACGGCATAAGGAGACCCATTAAAAACAAGCTCAACAAAGGGCCACCAGTAACGGATGCCAATGTCGTCGACAGCTGGATAACAGCGTGACCCAAGAACTGGATTACCAATACCAAGGCCACACTGAGGACACCGATAAGCACAACGGTCAAACGCATTATCCATGCCGTCTGACCCTCACTGAGAGGTGTCTTTTTGAATGGCTTAATATAATCCTCCAAAAAGACAGCTGCCAAAGAATTCAACCCCGTCGATAGGGAACTAAGCGCCGCACTAAATACACCAGCCACAAATAGTCCAGCCATGCCTGGCAGAGTTTTCAAAGTTTCCATAACCATCAGCGGGACCATTTGATCTTTGGCCTTAGCCAATTTGGTGCTCAACGGATCACAATCATGATAATTGGCAAAAATCAAGAGACCGTTATACATGGTCAGAACATTGATAACAATAATACCAATAGTAAAATAGATACAGGCCACCTTGGCTTCTTTCAGTGAGGGTACAGAGAGATAACGTTGAACAATCACCTGATTACCACAATTCACCTGGGTATACCAGAGAGTGGTGCCAACCAAAATCGATAACATCGAGACACGGGTTGTAGGATCCCAGGTTAATCTGAAAATTTAAAGTTTGGCGATTTACATGGTGCGGAAATTATAAGGATATTCTAATGCCAGACTTACTCTGGTATTTCTATTCTGCCTGTTGCCATATTTCGTTCAAACACAACCCCAAGACCTCCCACATCGATGGTACCCTTGACAATGACAAAGATAATGGCACCCACCATAATAACGGTTTGTATGACATCGGTCCAGACGACAGCTTTTAGACCACCCTGTAATTGTTTTAGATGGATTTAATATCACAGATCGAATGGCGTTTAATAGACCAATTCTGTTCCAGAGTCAACATGAGGAAGAGAGTATTTGAGAGACATGGAATCAAAAAAGGGTTTCAAGTCTCCGAACCTTCTCGAAAACTCAAACTTTGTAAGATCGAACTTCCAACAAGGTACTTCAAAACTTAGTACCATATCTATGAGGTTTGAAAATTTAGCATATATTTTATATATCTTCCTCTCTTGAAACCTCTATTACCCTGGAACATTTAATACACTGTTTTTGGAAACTTACCACACATGTATAGAATATGCAGACCATACACACCACAGGTGTAATAATGTGGATATTGACCCCAGTCACTATGAATAAAATAGAAAATGGTGAATCAGTAATCAACGGCAAGAAACGAATAGAAAGATAAAATAATTAGCCATCAGAGTCTGGACACAATTCCGTAGGTCAGAGTCGAAAAAAATTACCAACTTTTTGTGGAGGGTGAAAACTTGATAGACCATGCATGATGATGATCGAAAAAACTGCCTTAATTTATGATACTCCGACGAAAAAATAACATTCACCAAAGTGCCAAAAATAGGAGGGACAAAAAATGGATGGATCTTAACAACTTCTATTCCTGGAGCACGCGGAATGTCAAATTACCTACACTTCGGCCTAAACCTTCATAATATCAAATTTGTCGCAGTACATGTACAGGGAGCTGTGTTCTTATTGGATCGAACGGATCGTGTCGAATTAAGCAAAGAAATTTTGAAAAAATACGATTGTTACGCTACCATAGACGTATGTAAGATCGAGAGAGACGACGAACTAGATACTGATGCGTATGTGCCCGAAAAAAATCAATGAGCCGTATGGTCTTCGAAATCGATCCATATCCAACAAAAGTTGTTCGTAAAGTAGAAACTTCGAAGTAAATAATCGCATATTTGTCAAATAATCGTACTATGTCAAAACATAAACTGATATCGACTACTGACTATTTTTTGGCCCGGATTGCCAAATTACAACAACTTTAGTGGCTAAAACCTTCAAAATACCGAAACCTTTATATGGAGGCTATGTCAACACAGGAACCAATTTCGAAAATTCGGTGAGAAAATTCAGCAGAAACCCTAAAAAATTCTGAAAATGGAGACAAAACTTTTTGCGGGGTCTATATCAAAACATATACATATATGATAATTTTCGTAAAAATATGTCCAATATCCCGAATTATCGAATTTCAGCCACAGCAATGCGAAAATAAGTACCGAAAATTGGGTGGTTCCGTTATACAGGATATATATCAAAACATGGATCTATATTTAAAATTTTGTATACATATATGTTTAAATCAGCCTTCAAGAACCTTGTATACCAAATTACAACCCTGCAGGTTAGAAAATGCTACTAAAGCATTCAAAATACCGAAAATGGGTCTGTACAGTTATATGGAAGCTGTACAAAAACGAAACCCAATATTGATGATTTTTAGTAGAAAAATTTGACACCTCATGGGAACCTGCAAAACACATGAAAGCCAATTCTTTTGAAAAACGTGGCCGAATAATGGTTTGTACGGCTCTATGGGAGCTACTCGGAAACTTGGTAAATGTTGATAATGTTTGGGGGTACCGTTATATGTGGTCTTGCCTTAGACACTTCGACTGTAAAACGTGTGTAAACACTCCTAAATAACGAAATTTGGTAGCTACCCTAAAAAGTAGACCAATATTGAAACGAAGTAAAATTTTACAACCCATGAGAGGAATTACCGGAAAAATGGGCCAAAATTTATAATTTTTGGTATGGAGATTTCGATATAAATCCAAAATATAAAATTACAGCCAATTCAGTTGAAACTAGTGTCCAAGTTTCCCAAAATACCGGAACTGGGAAAGTGGACCTATATTGATACTTTTTTGTAGGAAGTTTTATGAGTTGATTAGGTAGAAAAACTTGCTCAAAGGTTTCAAAAACCACCCAGAGGCTTCAATAATGGTGATGTACGGTTCTATGGGAGCTACCCTGAAACATGGACCAATATTACTAATTTTTGTAGGAAAGTTGTTAACCTAATAACAATCCAAATGATCAAATTAGAGCAAATTAGTTTGAAATCCGTGGCCAACGTTCCTTATATATAAAATAATGGGAAGGCCGCTGCAATGGGGAAATTTCGGGAGATACCTTGAGAGGTACCTAAAAAGTGAACCAATATTAATCATTTATAGTATGGGCCAATTTCTTTGAAAAGTTACCCCTAAAAGCTTCAAAATCCCGAATATTGGGGAACAAAACTGGTTAAGTGAGAACTATTCCAACCATTAACTTTTTGAAGGGTCAAAAACCGAAATATGCTCTAGCCATTAGGCGTACTGCCCTGACAAACCATTCAGTGATTTCTGTTTTTCACGTCTATCAAGAAAATCTAACCTACAAACTAACCAGTAAGGAAAGTAGTAAAGTCGGACGGGGCCTACTATATGATACCCTTCACCACTTTGGGTATATCCAACAGATGGAATCCTAACAGACGTCGCATTTTTGAAGGAACATTACCATGATATTAAACATGTCATTCTGCAACCTATACTAAATTTTGGTCAGATATAGAGTTACTTCTTACAAAGGAACAAAATTATGTAAATAAATGTAAAGCAAAATATCGAAATCTAAACCGACTTCATCGAAACTTGTCACATGTTAGGTTACACTTATTTCAGTATGTTTTTGCATTCGGCCATATTTTCAGTCCATCATTTACTTATAAATCCAATTCTCGTGCAAATGGAAAGATATATAGGGATTTAAAAACAGGGACATAAAATCGGACGAAAATATATATGGGACCTATATCTAAATCTGAACCAATTTTCACGAAATTTAAAACACATCTTTCTAGACGTAATTCAGTGCGCTATGCCAAATTTCGTGCAAATCTGAGGATATATAGGGACTTTGGTGTACTATTTACCTAAAATCGGATGAAAATAAATATGGGAGTTATATCTAAATCTGAACCGATTTTCATGAAATTTAACACACATCGTTGTAGACTTAATTCAGTACGCTGTGCCAAATTTCCTACAAATATGAGGATATATAGAGACTTTGGCGCACCATTTACCTAAAAACGGACGAAAATATATATGGGAGCTATATCTAAATCTGAACCGATTTTCACAAAATTTAACACACATCGTTCTACACTTATTTCAGTACGTTGTGCCAAATTTCGTGCAAATCGAAGGATATATGGGGACTTTTGAGCACCATTTACCTAGAATCGGACGAAAATATGTATGGGAGCTATATCTAAATCTGAACAGATTTTCAGGAAATTTAACACACGTCGTCCTAGGCTTAATTCAGAATGCTATGCCGAATTTCGTGCAAATCGAACGATATATAGGGACTTTGGTGCACTATTTACCTAAAAGCGGACGAAAATATATATGGGAGCCATATCTAAATCTGAATAGATTTTTATGAAATTTGGCACACCTCGTTATATGCTTAATTCAGAATGCTATGGTGCACAATTAAATTAAATCGGATGAAAATATATATGGGAGATATATCTCTATCTGAACCAATTTTTCCCAATTTCAATAGGGCTCGTCCTTGGGGCAAATAAGTGAGCTATGCCAAATTTCATCCAAATCGGATCATGAATGCGACCTGTACTTTATTCACAAAAATACATGGAAGAACGGATATGCGTAAATCGACTCAGAAAGTGATTCTATGAATATTCTCAAAATGAACCATTTGTCTATCTCGTTTCCTTTTGCCTGTTACAATACATAATACCCTGTACCACAGTGTGGTGAAGGGTATAAAGACGCACAAGGAATTGTTATAGAAGGTGGATATATTTTACAAAAAAGTATCCCCATTCAATGCAATGTTCCGATAGTCTATTCTGAATGGTACATCACAAAAGAACACAGGTTTAAAATGTGTACCAATTCTCACACATCGGCTCAAACCAGAGGCTTTTTGTACGGAGGAAACGCGAAATGAATGATCCATTTGCCGTAGTACCCTGACTTGCCATAAAGTGATTTATTTTTATTCCCGTCTTTCAAGAAAACCTAACCTATAACCTGGGAATCTTATGAGCGACATATTTTAGAATTTTAGTATTCCACAAATTTCGTTTTAGGGAGGATGATAGATTCTATAAAAATAGAATATTTATCCTATATGTTGCTCCATGACAATGATATCCGAAATATATTTTCATGGTGATATATTTGCACAGTAGGAATGGAATCACATATTTTAACCTTCTAAGGCCTTCTAGGGTCGGACAGGAAGCTAAAAATAGGTAAAATTTTTCATTCACATATCATCCCATGTGTTGTTCGATGTCAATTATTTCTGCCTCCTACTCTGTTAGAATAGTGTCCAGACTCTCTGTATTTTCATTTCAATTTCAGCTTTAATGCAACAATAACACACACACATAGAAATAAAATTCTATCCTCCCATCAACAACACAACAAGTGGTCTCGTTAAAAAAAAAATTACCTTGATTGAACGCCAATGCTGGGACATAAATCACAATAGGTAACCAAGTTATCTAAACGGATGTAAGTATTAGTGGAATTAGGAAGGCAGTGATGCAACCAGTGATACCAACAGCCAGCAAAACATCATAGACAACACACATCAGATGGTTAGTGTGTGTGGTAATAGCGCGTATGTGTTGTGAAAACACAACATCACCATAGTCCGTTTGGTTGTTTGTTTGATTGTAATTGTAGTTGTGGTTCAGTGATATTGTTGTTACCGAACAGGAAATAAGTCGTTAACATCAGGCATGGCATCGGCGAGTTTGATCACAAGTTCAGTAGCATTTTGCAGGACATATCCGTTTTTTTGTAGCAGGGTAAACAATAAACCCCGAGAATACACAATACGATGGGACATAATTCCAGTTAGTTGATAGGGTATTGCCATGCATCGAATAAATTCATTCATTGTTCATTCAAGAATAGTAGTGGGTTTTTTTTTTTTTTGGGGTAGATTTTCCGTTTCAAAGGACGAAATAGAAAAAAATACAGCAGAAAAAAGAGAACAAAGACAATTTTTCAATTTCCAAATGAACTTCCATTGACTAGTTGTTAACATTACTTACCGTGCCCAGTGAGAAGAGTATGGAACCGAACAAGCGAATTCCTTTGCCGAAACGCATTTCAAAATACTGGAAAATAGTTGTTATTCACTTTTTTGGATTTTCACAATTTTTATTTTGCAATTTTTTTAAAGGACAAAAACAATAACAACAAACGCTCTAAAGGTATTTTTAGATGTCTTTTCAAAGATTTTCCCAATTTTTTTAGTTTTAAAAGGTTATTGCTGTTTTTGTACTCTATAGTTGAATGCACTTGTTTTTTTCATTTTATTTTGGTTGAGAAACAACAATAACAATAAAATAACGATGATAAGCAACACAAATAACAAGAGGAAGGAGAACATAAAAATAAGAACTGTTTGCTTAGAAGTGATAGCAAAGAAATAGAATTTTCAGCCATTGTTAGATACGCTTCCAAAAATGTATTTGTATTTTAAGCACATTGAAGAAACTTTTTTTGTATGTTTGTTTATATGTACATATGTAAACGAACTGCATGTTTTTGGACAAATTTTGTTAAAAAGTATTATTTACCAGAGTCATAAATTAATGTTAATATTAACTTATTAAAAGAAGGAAAAAAGAGTTGTTTTAAAAGTCAAATAAAATTAAATTAAACAATGTAAAAATGTTCGGGTCGTTCGTACCGAACTTTTGATAACCTCCACCATAAGAAAGAAAATATTAAAGAAACAGAAAAGCTAAGTCAATTCTCTGGAAAATTTAGCTGAAGGTCATAGAGATAATTCACTCCAACTTCCGACAAAAAATATTGCCAAGTATTTACATCTTCGCTGTGAGACGATATTGATGCTAGCCGAATCCGAACTAGGGATAAATAAATCGACTTTCGACTAATCGATTGATCGACTGTTTGTATTGAAAAGTCTAAGTCTACTCTTCAAGATGGAATTTCGATTTATTTCAAAAATTACCTATTTTATGCCATGTTCTGACGGGCATCCGAACAACGTAGTTCGCTCTCAGAATTACGTACATGAATTAACCCGTTCATACAACACTATTCATAATTCATATCATCAGAGTTTTTTATTTCAAACTTTTTGTTTCTTGTTTTACACCAAATATGTAACATATTTTAGTGAATTACATAGGGATCTAAATAGAAAAAATAATTCTCTTTCTCCTGACTATAGTATGAACCCATATCTATTTACTTTTCATTCATGTTTTCCATTTTTTCTGAAAATGTTGTTGTTTTTAATACATTTTTATATTTTCTCAATTCAAATGTCACATACTGTCACAAATAAAATTTTGGAGAATTTTTTGTTTGAGTTGCCCCACATTTGTTTCTTGTTTTGTACGCTAATTAGAACCAAGGGAAAAGAAATGCATATTGCATTATGTAGAAAACAAAATTTACATCCTGCTGCATATATAAAATCTATACAATTTTTTATACCCTCCACCATAGTATGGAGGGTATATTAGTTTTGTTTTTCCGTTTGTAACGCATCGAAATAATCATTTCCGACCCTATAAAGTATATATATTCTTGATCAGCGTAAAATTCTATGACGATCTAAGCATGTCCGTCTGTCCGTCTGTCCGTCTGTCCGTCTGTCTGTCTGTCTGTCCGTCTGTCTGTTGTAATCACTCTAGCGTCTAAACGAATTGAGATAGATCGCCAAAATTTTGCATAGAGTCGTCTTTTGTCTGCAGGCAGGTCAAGTTCGAAGATGGGCTTCATCGGTCCACGTTTAGGCATAGCTCCCATATAAGGGTACCCCCCAATTTTCGGTATTTTGAGGTTCTTGAGCGCGTTTTTCAACTGAATTCGCTCAAATTTGGTATATTGAGTTCTTATTGGGTAGCAAATCTTTCCACTGAAAATTATAAATATGGGTCCATATTTTCGGATAGCCCCCATATAAGGGTACCCCCAATTTTGAGGTATTTTGGGGGGTTTGATCGCATTTTTCGACCGAATTCGCTGAAATTCGGTACTTTGAGTTCTTATTGGGTAGCAAATCTCTATACGAAAAATTATAAATATAGGTCAATTTTTTCGGGTAGCCCCCATATAGGGTACCCCCCAATTTTCGGTATTTTAAGGATCTTGAGCGCGGTTTTCAACCAAATTCGCTGAAATTTGGTACATTTGGTTTTTATAGGGTACCAAATTTCCCCACTAAAAATTATAAATATAGGTCCACTTTTTCCGGTAGCCCCCATATAAGGGTACCCCCAAATTTTCGCTATTTTGAAGTTCTTGAGCACGTTTTTCAACCGAATTCCCTGAAATTTGGTATTTTGTAGTCGTATATGGTAACAAATTTCCCTACAAAAAATTATTAATATGTACCCCCTTTTTGGGGTAGTCCCTATATAACCCCCTTTTTTATATTAAAATAGTTATGCAATCTGTTCCGCGTTTTGGGGTGGTTCTAAGACTCTGTTGTAATCATATCACCTGCGGAGGATATCGAGATTAAAAACTAGAACGTAAGGTTCAATAATGAACTATATATGAACTATAACCCGTATTTAGACCTAGCCCCTGTGTGGGAGGTACCAGAAGGAGTGGACCGATATTCCCCATCTTCAAACTTGAAGTAAGTTTGGAAGAAATTATAAGATGGCCAAAGTTTGGATGAAATCAAAATTTTCTGAAACAAATTTGGTCCAAAGAAACATGGGGTCTAGAACCATTTTAACCGTGTAAAAGTGTATACACCCTCATTATCCATTAAAAATTTCTGAAATTTGTTTTATAGTTTACATTGTGTTTTACATAACTGGTATGTGGAAATGTCGATATATGTTCACTTTTTTATTTTCCCTATATGTTCATTTTAAGTACCTGTCAGTATATCTATGGTGGAGGGTCCAAAGTTCGGCCCGGCCGAACTTAACGCTTTTTCACTTGTTACTTTTCATTCATGATTTTCAATTTTACTGAAAAAGTTTGAAAATTTCATATATATTTTCAAACTGTCAAAATTAATTTATTTTCGATAAATACTCTCAATTGTTAGGGATGGGACAAATTTATTGGTTATTCAGAGAGTGATTCGAATTGAACAACGTACAAAAGTCGGTGTTCGCTCAGACAATTTTGTATGGGGAACTAAGTAATTCCTTCATAATTAAGGGTCGAACAACGAATGAGAGAGCGAACAACGCTCGTCTGGACATGGCATTAGAACTTTCGTCTGTTGACAACAAAGCATATAAAAATAAAATTTTTAGTCGATTTTGCATTACTCGGTAAAAATCAAAAATCGATTTTAAGCAGTTTGAACAAAATCAAAAGATCGAAAAGTCGACTTTATAGTCAGAGGCAAAATTCGAAAAGTCTAAAAATCGAATTTTTGGCCGGAGGCAAAAAATCAGAAAGTCTAAAAGTCGAATTTTGCTCTCGACTGGGTATCCCTAATCAGAACAGCACTTCTGTTGAATAAGACCTCGCGTAATTGGTCAGAAATTACTTCCATTCCATTGATATGGTATTTAGGATAGGATACATCTATTTCGGTAGGAAACCAGTTAGGAAGGTAGTAAAGTCGGACTGATCCGACTATATGATACCCTTCACTACTTTAGGTATACTGTTCCCACTGTTCCCATATGCCAAAACGCAATAACGTCATTCTTGTTTCAATTTGTTTGTGAATAATATTGTGCCAATCGGACAAACATTAAGAGTTTGGTGCACCATTTACCTAAAATGGGGCAAATATACATATGTGGAAGCTACATCTAAATCGGAACCGATTTTCACGAAGCATCATTCTAGACTCAACCCATATGCCAAATTTCATGCTAATCGAAGGAGATTTAGGGTCTTAGGTGCACCATTTACAATAAATCGGACGAAAATATATATGGGAGCTATATGTAAATCTGAACCGATTTTCTCGAAACTTAACACACATCGTTCTAGGCAATATTTCTGAAGAAACAGTATAACATCGTTAAGGATAGGCGTGTCGAAATTGTTATACCCGTAATTTATATACCTAAAATCAAAATTCAGTCGACATACCCATATAAGTGTATGTCACAATATTGAAAATTGTCTGCGAGAGCTCAGAATTGCCATTTACAGCCACATCGGAAATTTTTAAATGCTTCTACGGAAAAGCCGATATGACTTATTGTTGGCAATTTAAGACTAGGGTCTTGAACATATCGAAAATGGAGCGGTACCTTTATAGTGTTTTCAAAATACGGATCTACAATGAATATTTTCTGCGAAGAAGTTTCGTACCCACCAAAAATTGGAAATGTGCCTTCCGATGAGCCATCAAAATATCTACAATATTTCCATACCTCTATATAGGGGATTTTTTTTTTTGTGGATTTTTGACACATTTTTAACCGAATTGGCTCTAAGTTTATATTTCTGATGCCACATCTTTCTATCCTATTTTTCAGACACAATTTTAAACGAATTTACTGTATTTTTGTTTTCATTGGGTGGTACATCTTAATAAAAATAACCAATATCGGTCTATTTAGCAGTTAAAGTCCCATAGAATGGTATCCTTCATTATCGTTATTTTGAGGATTTCTGAGATGTTTTTCAAACCGATTTGGCTCCAATTTGATATTGTGAGTTCTCATTGGATATCAAATCTTCCCACAGCTATTTTAAACCTCGAGCGATCTTTGGAATGGTATTTATGCGCTTAGATATTTAATGATCTTGATGTACTTCACATAAAACTCAAGGGTCATTTTTCGGAAGTTCACGGTCCTAGATCACTTTTCCACTCACGTTGGAAAATTGGTCTAGGATTTCTGTAATTTGGTATTTCGTTTTCTTCTTAATTTAATATGGCATAGTTCTTTATATTAACCGAAAAGGTAACGTTCTTGGCCAGCCAGACTAGCAACTTTGTTGTATACCTTATAAGTGTTGTCATTGACGGGAACAAATACTTTAACTGGCGGAAAACTAATGCCCAGCGTTTGACATTCAAGGTGAATGATATAGGTGGTCAACATGTTTGGTCCTATCCATTGCAGGTTGATGACATAATTTTCGGCATTTTTATACCCTTCATGTCTTTGTGCATATGTTTGTAACAGGCAAAAAT